AGGGGGGGGCCCTGTGCTCACCCTTGGCCAAGCAGAGGTTACGGGAGGCTTCTTCCTCCTCTGACCTCTCTTTCTTCCCCCTCGGAACGTTTTCCTTCTGGTGATCTTGGTGGCTGTTTGAGGAGCAGTAACAGGTACAGCTGTTGGCTTCACGCTTGTTACATCCGTTTCTTTGGTTGCCGCAGTTGCAGGGGAAGGGTACAACTGTGGTTCTGCAGGGGGAAGATGCTCTGCTGACTTCCCCTTGCCACGAGGAAGGGGCTTGTTTAAGGACAAGAAACCACTGCTGTGATCCCCACCTGTTGAAATGGGTGGGAAGTGCAAAGGAGACATCCTGGGCACGGCTGATGTTGGAGTTTTGGGAAGCAGGGTCGATGCCTGCACTGATGGAAACCCATCTGTCTGTTCTGACAGCGGCTGAAGAGGGACCTCTTCTCCTGCACCGTTTCCAAGGAGACGTTCCCAAGTAATTTTTCCTCTTTGGGAATTTTTTGCTGAGGTTCTAGGCTTGATGCTGGGTGAGACTGATTCAAGAGTTGAAGATATCTTGGTGCTTATGGCGTGTGTAACTTCTGTCACAATACGAGCTGTGTGGGTTGCCAGTGTTGGTTGTCTGATACCAGGAGGTTGGACTCTATCAGTACGTGTCTGAAATGGAGCACTGGTCTCTAAGTTCCATTGAGGAGTATCTTGGGTGCCTTTTGTAATTAAGGGCATGGCTGTTGTAGTAGCTTTTTGCCTTGCACTGGGGTTGTTTTTCTCTTCCCTGAGGAATGCTGTGCTTACATGAGTACCTGCTGGGGGCTCCAGTGGCACATTCATGGTAGGGGGAGAGGACAGAGGTGCTTCTGGGCTAGTTGGGTTCATGGAGCTGCTGAAGTTTTTTAAGGTTGGTAGAGTTGATAAGTGTTTCGTATTCAGTTGAACATCTGCAGCCAGACCTGTACTTTCTCTAACAGATCCTGACCTCCCAAAATTGTATCTGTGCTCTTTCATCTTTGAAATCTGTCCGGGTCTAACAATTTGTCTCCTACCAGAAATTTTCCTTTGTCTTCCATGGTGCTGCTGGGCCTGAGGTGTATGGGTGTCTTGAATAATCTGAGTTTGCTGATGAGTATTGATAGTTGAGTCCAGTGGTGGCTTTGGAGTTACTTGTTTCTGAGTACTATGAAAATAAATGTGACCAAATTCAGGACTTGGTTCCCTGCCTGTCACTACAGGAGTCTGATGATCTATTTTGGTAGAAATCTCAATAGACTCAGTAAAAACATGGAGCTTGTCCACTGCATTATGGGAAGTTACGGAGTTGCTGGTGACTGTAACACCTGTCATGGGTGTAGTAGATACAGATTTTAAATATTGGTTATTACTTTCTCCAGAATATACCGGCCTTTGCCCAGCAGGGGAGAGTGTAGCTGTTCCGCTCCCTCCATGTGATAGACTTGATTGGTTTATACCCTTTGCTGATATTTGACTTAAATCAGATCTTTCCTCTGAGTTTGTACTTGTAGGTTTTAGATATGCTTGTGGCCTTCTGCTGTCAGATGCCCCAGACCCTGACAAAGGAGGGGGGAGAGGAGTTCCTGCAGCTGGGGCAGAGGTGGTCCTGGCAGGGGGGTCCCTCACGATCGTTGCAGGCCCTACAGGTACCACAGCTCTTCCCAGAGCAGGCACAGGGGCTGTCTCTGTTACTGGGATCATGAATTCTTCTTCAGGAGACAAGAGGTCACCAGAGGCTTCCTCCTCATCCTCAGATAGTTTTGAGAGCTCATGGGCTTGAATAGGTGGTTTTGTTGCAACTTCTCCTTGGTTTTCTGTCAACGTTGAGTTCCTCTTTGTTTTTTCCAGGAGGGCTGCCCAGCGCTGCGGATCAGCTCTCCTGGCTGAGGAAACAAACTGTCTTCTGTGTCCCCTGAACCGCCTGCCCCTCTTGTCCCCAGAGTGCCTGTGAGCCATTCTCCCATAGCTGTTCCTTGTAGGCACACTCTGTGGGACCCGGTTCCGGGCTGCTGAGGCAGCAGAGTCCTGACCAGGTGTCTGGGGAGCCAGAGGAGCTAGTGGATGTTTCTGTGCTGCTGCAGAGACCAGCACCACCTCACCAGAGCCACCATCTTCTTCCTCTTCTCCCACAACTACATGCTTTTTCTTTGGAGTGGTTTCATCCTGTCTAACTAGCACTTGGAAGACCAACAGATCCACCCCGTACTGGTTGGCGGCCACGCAGCGGAAGTAGCCGCTGTCTCGCTCTGTCACCCCTTGGATTCTCAAGGTACCGTTGTCAAAAATCTGTTTGTTCCTCGCAGAATGATGAAGAACCACAGGCTCAGGTAACACCCAGCTAACGGCAGCGTCAGGGACGGCTGAGGACGTGCAGGGGAGGTCGAGCGTGCTGCCAGCCGGCGCGGACAGCCGGGCTCCGTTCGCTCCGCCGGGCTCCACCCGGGCATCCAGCACCGTGACCCGGAACGTCAGGGCATCTGCGTCCTGCTCGGTTGTGCCTATGCAGTGGTAAAGGCCAGTGTCAAAGGTATCAGCTGCCCGTAGCATCAGCGTCCCAGTGTTCACCACGATGATCCTTCCATCCTCACTGACGTAAGGAGCTCTAACTTTGCTTCCATCAGCCAACAGCCACTCTATTGCAGGAGCTGGTTCTCCACTTGCTTGGCACTCCAGTTGGACGGTGCCCCCGACTAGAACAGTGTGCTCTGTTTGTGTTCTGTTGTCTCTGGAGATGATAGCCCAGCTGTTTCCCTCCTGGTTTTCATCAGCTCTGGGCAAAATAATCTGAGCATCTGTGAAGTACTGGATGTGCAGTGTGTTTAGAGTGGTTTTTGTCCTGTCCAGCTGTAATGCTACTTGCCTTTGCATTAACCAAGGTGGTTCAGCTCTCAGTTCAACCTCTATATTGGTAAAGAGGTCATCTTTTTCAGAGTAGATTTGTTTATATTTGTAACTAAGAAAAGGTGTGTTAGTTGCTAGGATGTTCCTTTCCAGTCTTAAGGGAGAGTTACTGTACAGTGCCAATATGCTCCATAGCTGCTGAATATGTTCATAGTCAATGCCACACACAAGGAATGATGAGAATGATGTTTTGAGTACTGTGCTGTTGCCATCTTTGTCAAATGAGATGGGAGACATTTCTTTAGGGCTTTGGATATTGCAAACCAAGTTACCTCGATTTCCTGCTTGATCAGTCATGTTCAAAACCATGGATCCTATAGGAGCCACAAAGTCCTTGGGAGAGATGGCACTGAAATCCCCATCATCTGGCACTGTGAGGTTTTTTAGTTTCAGGGAGCCATGTATGGCTGGCTTCATGCAGGCTAAAGATGCAGAAGGAACATCCACTAAGCTTTTCTCTTTATGATTTTTGGGACTAGCACACATTGGGCATTGCTGAGCACCTGAACTTCTGTCTTTTTTGCACTTTATAACATCTGAAGGGAAGAAAAATACAGTAAACTTTTATGATACAATTTTTCATTATTAATAAAGATACACAGCTACCAGCATGTTGCTCTCTTGCATAAATATCTATTAACAAAGTTTGTCTTAAAATAACCTATGAAAATCTAAAATAAGCCAAGAAAACATTTGAATTCTCTCTGATGAAGCTGCCTGAGGACTACTGCTGTTGCAGCTCAGCCTGGCACCATCTGTCCCAGGAGTCCTGCCCCGGGCAGGGTGGGCTCTGCCATGGGGCACAGCCTCAGATGTGTCCTAAGACCCAGCAATAGAGCCTGGGGGTGACACAACCCTGTCCTGTGCAGCCTCTGCTCAGGGCAGCAGAGAAAGTCCTGGAGTCCTGTTCCTTAATTTTATTTCTCAAAGAATTGAGTAGAATGTGGCTTTTACTCTTGCCAGTTACATAAACATTAGCTTCCTTATTCCCTGTGGATTCTCCTGATGCATGGAAGCTTTGGCCAAGGAAAACGTTCAATTAAGGAAAGTGGCACTTGGGAATGGGTGAAGACCACTAGATTGATTTAATCTGGGAGACTGGTATTAGTCTGTTTATCCAGATTACATGCAAGTGCAAAACTCCTGTCTCCCACTCTTTTCTGGGAGAACAAATAAATAAATAAGGGACAAATGCCTCTAGAATGCTGTACTATGATTAAAGCATAAACAAAGCTTTCAGCTCACCTGGTCTCTGCCTTGCCCACTCTGCAAACCACTGCAGATTGCAGTCACAGCACCAAGGGTTTCCATGCAGGTAAATGCTCTCTAACTCAGACATGGAGGAAAACATTTCTTGTGGTAATGAAGTCAACACATTGTCAGATAAATATATGTGCTTGATGAAGGATATTTTAAATATCTGGCTGTAGCGTAAGGAAACAAAAGTGTCTGGGTGAAGCTGCTTCAGTAAATTCCCTTCCAAGTGAACCAACCTCAGTGATGTCAGTCCATAGAAGACCTTGGGATTTACAAATTCAATTTTGTTATGGTCCATATGCAACCGTACCAAGCTCCTCAGACCATAAAAGGCATACTGCTGAAGCACTCTGACCTTGTTATAACTCATTTTTAAGACCTGTTGATGAGAAAAGTAACAAGGGTATAATATTAACCCATGTTAGATTGTTATAAGGCTCCTAATGAATTGGGATTGATAGTCACTCTGTGATGTGAAAGTACTTCAACAGACTGGAAATATGAGTAACTGGGGAAAAAAAAAAAAGTGGGAATGATTTTTAAATGCAGTGTTAGTTGCAGGCTCACAGGGGTGCTTTCCTGTTCCAACAGCCCTTCAAGTGACACTTCTGCAGTCACCGTTACAAACTGCAGAGATTAGAAACTAAAATAAAGCAATACTTATTTCTGATTTAAAAAAAAATATAAATCCCAATTAAACCACACTTAGGAAAAGGGTAAGCAGAACCTGACCGTTAGCTGTGGGAGTGATTTTTGGTCCAGCCAGTGCTATGACTACAAAACCACACGCAACAGTCTGGTCTGTGTGCTGTTTGACCAACAGAACCACTGCTCGTGTTCCCAGTTTCAGGATTTCTCACATGTGAGCTGGGCACTTGCCAATCCTCAACTCTTGGGTGCTGTTCTGTTGCTGACTAGTTAAAAGTCAAATTCATCACTATGTGATGACTAAACCTGGCATGTTGCTGAGGGACTGAGTGCAAGGCTTCTGTGAGCTGCTTCCGTTGCTGGTGTTACTGCAGATTGGTTCAAAGTATTAACAAAAGGTTATTTAGTTCTTACCTGCAATGAAGATAAATCCCTGAACACCTTCTCAGGGATTGTGTTTATCTCATTGCTGTGCAGCATCAGCAACTCCAGTTTCTCCAGGCCAGAGAAGTCCGCTTGAGTCAGCTTAAGCAAACTGTTGTAACTGTAACAAACAGTTCATCCCAGACCTGGGTTTAGTCAGACAACTGAACTTCACAAGTGGTTCAACAAACAAACCAAACCAAAATAACAACTCTGGAAATGCAGAAAGGTAGGCATCACTTCTGGTTACTAAGATGCAACTTTCAGTTACATTAGCACAAAATCCGGTAACTTTTCCAGGGTGGCTTCTGAACACTGTGGGAACAGGGTATGGGGAAAACAACTGCAGAAACGTGCAGACAAGATTGCCAGTTTGGGGCTTCACTGGAGAAGAGCAAGGAGCTCCTGGAATGGTAGGGGCTGGTGATCCATTGGTGCCTCTTCCAGCCACGGACTTCCCTGGCCCTGCAGCACCACCGGGAGGCCCAGGAGCAGGAGAGCCCGGGCAGTGAGTGTGGACAGGGGGATGCTGTGCTGCCCTGAGCTCCCAGGTGCTGTGTGAGCCTGCCAAGTGCTGAGCACCTGCCCCGTGGTGCCTCTGGCCTGGGGCCCCTGTCACACTCCCACGAGCTGAGCAGCTAAGGGAAGCAGGAGGCAGACACGAGGAGAGCCAAGACTTAAATTCCCTTTCATGTTTTCTACGTGCGTGTCTGGATGACTCCAAGAGTACACGAACCAAAGGGACAGAGGGGTCAGGCAACACTGCTGATTGATCTCCTCATGTGCTGGTGTGGCAGATACTTATGGAAACCACATTAGGGGCCCAGCTGAGCCTGGGTGTAGTTCCCTTAGCCCCCCACAGGCCAGAGCCATTGCGGGGGGCTGCAGTACTCCCAGAAGAGCTACTTTCCATCAGTTAGTAGGTCAAAGCACAGATGTTAGCACTGTCTCTGAGGATGTCAATACACATGCTAATGGCCCACCCCACTGTCTGAGCTCTGAACTATCTTTTCCCAGAAATAATTCTATTTCAGACTCCTTCTAAATTCCACGTTAGAGATGCAAACTGTTTGTTTAATACAGAATAATATATTTACACTCAAAACTTTCTGAAATTCCGCCATGCCCTGGGACACATTTCCCCTCAGTGTTGCAGCTCCTGGGCTTTGCTCCCTGGGGCTGCCCCCACTGCTGGGCGCTGAGCTCTTCAGGATGATCGTTTTGCTTAACTCCGGGCCCCGCACCTGGAATCTCTCTCGGGCCGCCTCCCCACGCACGGCAGGGGCAGCGCCCCGCGT